GCAGACCGATAAATCGGTTAATGAATCCTCCTCGTCAGCCAGGCTACTGCCGCCCGCCTGTCTGTGATTATCGATTGATAATCACCTTACACTTCCTCCTCGACGTATCGCTCACCAGATCATGCGTCCACGTCACGCGTGGTCGAGGACGGGGAAGGGTAAGGGGAGGGCGAGGGAGATGCAGTGATGGACGGACCTCATCCGGTTTTGGGTTCGCGGTCGATCATCGAAATGAAGAATGATCCGGTCCATCGCAAGTGGCGAAAGGAAACGAAGCGTAGGTCTGTGACCTGTGAGATGTCGGTCTCTGTTACATTTCCATGGTTGCGATACGTTTTCTTTCCGTGAAGATTACGGTGATCCCACTGCGATGCCACCAGCCGGAAGTGTCTTGTTTCAATTGCAGACAACTGGTACAGCAATCTTTCGACTTAACTTTTTTAACAACTTTCAAGTCTGGAACTGAAATCCCACTACTACATTAAATATCCAGTGTGTAGGGTGGGTGCATTTGATAGCCTGAAGACGGCAGCTTCGTGCTCTACGTGACAACTCCCTTTTCATCATCCTAGACGGCATTTGATTTCGCATCGCTTGGTCTATAGAGAGCTGTTTCCATGACCTGCCTACCATCGCTCGTGAATGACATCGCGAGATACTTTAACTTACCTACCTGATTGAACTCCATCCTGGCAGAGACGAGGGTCTCATCTTCTCTTAGGGAAGACACAGATCCAGACATCTGTTCAGATATCGGCCGACAGAGAGCATGCGGATGATACACCCCTGGCGAGTACTAACTAAAATAGTCGTACCTCGACATCGAAAGACTTCTGCATCCAATACATGTACGAAAGCCGACCCTTGTTTAATGCCGTGAAGTCAAATATAATGAGGAACCTGTCGCTCACAGCAGCAGATTTGCAGAAGATGGAACAGGCAGGAGTTGAAACCGTAGAAGTTGAATGGTACAAGCATCGTGTATCCGTGATCTCCAGCGATGGAACCGTCTAACTAGCGTGAAATGACCGGATCGCCCTCATCTACAA